CCTGGACTTCCACCCTCCTCCTGATGCTAGTGTCTCAGCACAGCATATGGAAGGAGGGTGGGGTCCCTTAGTGTAAAATCTCAGTAGGTCTCAGCACAACTGAGAAGAGGACAAGGGAAAGCAGATGGTTAAAAAGAACAGAGGAGAGTTGCCAGGAGGGAAGACCACAGGAGGGACATGCTGAAAGGCCACTTCTGAAAGGCTACTGTTATGAGCGGGGAACACAGGACACAAGCCCATACTGGCCTGGGTTAAGTGGTGGGAGGTCCCACTCATTTCCTCCCCTGAGTGGTTGGAGATACTCAACCATTATCCTTGGGGCACATTGACCCCATGTGAACACACACAACCTTACTGATCCAGACGAGGTCTGAGCTTGGACCTCATTCTACAGTTCAGACCCTGAAGTAACCCAAGGTCATGGAAGTAGGGGTGCAGGACTCTGCCCAGGTGCTGCTGGGTCTCTGCCCAGACTACTCTCCTCAGGGCTAAATCTCCCTCCTGCTGATGCATCTACCCCAAAGAAAAAGCACTGGAATATCCCCGTGGCCTGATCATGTGCATGCACAAGTGTGCAGATAGGCATGTTTGAATGTCATGTGTGTGTGCAAGAGTATATCCATTCCTACATGTGTGTGCACATGCTCTGTGTGTGCACAAGTAGACACGAGGCTCTGAGTGCAGGTGAATATGCATGAACTGGTGCGTGAGCACAGATGCACAAATATGAACATAAGAGTATTATAGGGATGGATGTCTGTGTGTGTGCCTCAAGTGTCTTAAGTGTGTGAGTGTGCATTGATTTGTGTTTGTTTTTCCATGTGCATATGCATGGGTGTAAGGGTGACAATAGCTTGAGTGTGCATGTAGGTGTATTTGTGTGGATGTGTGAGTGGGTATATTAAGATCGTGGGTGTGTCTACATGCAAACACAAGTGTGTAAGTGGGAGAACATGGCAGGGTGCTCATGAAGCATTTGTGTAGGTGCTTGCGTGGGGGTGGGTGAGTGTGCTTCTGAGTGGGCGTGTGTGCTTGCATGTGAGGGAGAACAGAGGAGGGGCAGGTATGACTCATGTCCCCAGACACAGTGCAACAGTGTCCTACAGAGCAGAGGTTCTTTCCCTGCCTCATTCATCCCGAGATGAAGACAAGAACCCACAGCTGTGAGAACGGTCTCCCTCCCCGGCCCCCTGCTCTTCCTGTCCATACTGAGGCCTGGGTCCCACCCCTGCACCCTCCTGTGCTCCAAGTCCTGGCTTCATAAAGGCCTGCCAAGCAAGCACAAAGCCCCAGGCCACAGGGACACCACCCCACCACAGCCACATGGCCCTCCTGGCCACACTCCACTCCTGGCATTGCAGCTGGGAGAAGAGAACATGCAGAATGCCCCGTTCTCCACATCCTAGGAGTTCCTTTCAATGTGTGATCTCAACACATGGAAAGCACCTCACTCCAAAGGGAGGTTCACCGAGCTAGAGACAAACGCGCAGATCACTGGCTTCAAGTCACTGCCTACAGCACCAAGATCCATGTCACTGATTCCAGGAAGCTGACAGGTCAGGGAACACCTGCCAGACACAGTCCACACATGGTACCCAGAAAACACGGCTGCCCTGTGACACTGTAGAAAGAATTGCTGCCCCCACTGACAGTGGGGGAAACTGAGGCACAGAGCTCATCCTGCACCCCAGCTCACAGGATGATGCCAGTGCCCCTGAAGTACTTAGAGACCACTCACTCTCAAGCCCACCTGCACCCATCTGAGTCAGCACCTGAGCCATCCTGCTCCTGCCCACAGCCACCTGTGTACCCAATGAGCTCAGCCCTTACCCCTGAGACATCAAGGGTGTTACAGGAAAGAGAGTGCGTGCGTCTGAAGCCATCAGAAGCCCAGAGGACAGTACCCACAGCGTGGGTCAGAGACAGAAACAAGAGCACACATACTCCTTAACAATCCTGATTGCCATCACAGGCAACCAACAGAAACTGAAGTCCATTTCCTCCACCCGGACAGGCAGCCTAGTTGAAAATACACAGTGTACACATGCTCAATAGACCTGGGCTACTTCAAAGGGAAAAAAAATAATAACTGTAATACAGACTCATCTGGGGCAAAAAGGGAAGCACACGGGGGCTCAGAGCCAGTGGACGCAGGCCTGTCTGCCTCCTCTACTCCAGCCTCAGGAAAGGCAGGGCAGGAGACCACTGTGGGTAGAAGCCTTGAGCCAGTGGCTAGACCAGCCCAGGCCCACTTTTCCCAAGAACCCCCTCGCCTCAATAGCGCTCCAAGGCAGTGAGTGACCTTCTGCTCTCCTGCCTCTACTTCCGAAAGGTTCTCGGAACCTCCTTGAAGATGGGCAGTGGTTATGGAAGGGACTTTCTCCCCTGCACAGAACAGGGTCCGGAGCGCAAAGCTCCGTGCAAAGTGTAGGTCTGCTCTGAGCCTCTACCCTTGACGGGAAGCTAAGCCTATAGCTCTGAGCTGGGGGTACACACCTGACTCTGGAGCTTTCACAGGACTCAGTCCCAAAAGACTCGCGTGGAGACCTAACACCCGAAAGCAAGCAGCATCCCCTGAGTATGCAGCAAGGGCCACCCTGCAGGGCTTCCTCCATGACTCATTCTTTCAGACTCTTCTGCATATCTGCCCCAAGCCTTCTCTGTTCCTGCCTGCCCAGAATTAAGAGGCGGGGAGTCAGCGCCATCAGCAGAAGGATGCACAGCAGAGGTGGCAGGGTCTGAAGGGAGGTGGCAGCGAGGTACACCAGCCCTTCCTAAAGCAAGCGCCACCTTCTCCGGGCATCTCAATCACCAAGCGGCAGGGGTTCACCGACAGACTGCAGGGTGCCGGGAATTTTGCAATGGGAAGACGTTTGAAATCCTTGGGGACTACCGGCTTGCCTTTACTACAGGTTTCCCTACCTTGATCCCCATTTATGTGTCAATATGGGACTTGAATACAAATATTGTAGAGGATAAAATGCTTTAGAAATGGCAGAAGATTTTCAACACATGCTTTCCTTATGGACTTTTTGCTGTCACACAGTCTCTGTGGAAAGCAGCATCTTCCCCTGGGAGGAGGGGGCATGGCTGAGTTCAGTGAGGGAAGGATTTACATCAAATTGGAGGCTAGTCACTGGGAAACCTGGGTACCAGCTACCTAAGAATCCTTGTTTTCACAATAAGCTTCCTCCCCCCCTCCCGCCCCCCGCGCCCCCCGCCCCCCACCCCGCAGAGTAACAAGGGCTCCTCTATCCCAAAGGGAGGACAGTGGCACCTTTGCCGACTCCTCCCTCTCTCCTTTTAAATCTTTTCTCTAAAAGGAATGCCTAGAGGCTGTGTAGGGGGGAAGAAATTACCAGTTTTAAAAAGATAACACAGCACAGCCTTTTAAGGCACCTAGAGAACCCACCATGGACCTCAGCCCATGTCTCTCACTAGCCCTACAATGCATGCTCAGCATTAAGACCCTGTCATCATGGCCCCTGTCACCATGTACTGCTCCCTGACACCAGGGTCTGGATGTTCATCCTATGGTCAGCAGGTACACCTGGCTAGCAGCCACCCCTCTCTCTCACACACACACCAGTTATCCTCCCCCAATTTAGATTCTAGGCCCAGCCCAGCCCCCCCCCCAACAACTCCCCATGTGCTCCCAAGGCTACCTTCTTTCCTTATATGGGCTCCCCCACTTATCTGCTCTCATCTTCATCCTGCTGTTCTGTAGCTAGACCTAGAAACACAACCCTGCCACAGCAGCCAAGCCTGGGCAGGACCAGTGCAGGGGAAGGCGTGGGAGTCCAGCTCCCACCTTTTGAAGGGTTCTTCGGTGGAGGAGAGAGGAATGAGGAAATAGCAGATAGAAAGAGGGACCTAGACAACGAGAGGAAAGACAGAAACACAGGATAGCTTCGGGAGGGCTGGGGTCAATACCCAACAGCTTCGCCCTTTATTGAAAACGGCGTTTTACAATATGCCAAGGTGGGGAAGGCAAAAGACCTCCCCCTTGCAAGATCAAAGCACACCCTACAGTCAGTGTAGACCCTTCCAAACATCTGGTAAACCCGCCCCTAACCAAATCATCTCCTTATGCAGCCCTGCTGCGTAAAGCAAGCTCAGATTCTCTGACCCTGAGTACGTTCTCACTAGATAGCCTCTGCGGGCTCCCACAGGAAGGTCCCAAACTCCTGGGAACAGTCTCCTGGTCCACCTCCCCACCTGCTTGGCTGCGGTGGTCTGGGAGAACAGGCACCTCCGGAGTCCAGGAGGAGCCTCAAGAGGAGTTAAGTCCTATGCCCTTGTCCCAGCAGCCACCTCACCCGCCCAAGCTGAAAGAGACAAAGTTCCAGGCTTTGTGGAGCCAGGGTCAGGGCTTCGGGGAGCACAGGTTATGAAGACCAGATTGTGAGTGACCTTGGCAAACTCCCCTCCTTCAGGACAGGAGTCGGGATCACAGCTGGGTAGTTAGCAATATTGAAGGGGTTCAAAGTCCTTTCCCTCTCACTCTCTGCTCCCTCGGGTCCGCGGAATTGAGAATCAAGCCCCAGATGCGCTCCAGGCGAGCTTGGAGAGGAGCCCAGGGTCTGCGCGCTCCGCCAGACTAGAAGCCTGGCCTCAAGACGGCGCATCCTCCCACTTTTCATCCCTCTACCGAGATGGGCGCAACCCAAAGCAGTGGATCAGGCGTGGGCCCCCGCTTGGCCACACAACTATTACCTGACCTTGGGCCTGTCACTGCCACCACCACCCGCACACATACCGGTCTCCGGTCTCCACCCTAAAGACGCTGTGGACTCTTATCTCAGAAGAAACCCCAGGTGGTGGGTGCTAACCCTGACTGCATACCCAGCTTGCTGAGTGACCTTGAACACCCATACCTCTCTTCAGAATCTCAGTTTCCCCACCCTCCCCATCAGAAGAAGAATGTTAAACTCCTGGCACCACCAGTCCCGCTGGCAGGTGTGTCTCCAACCCAATGGGGGGCGCGTGATGGCACTTACCGTCCTCCAGAGACGTGGGCGCTTGGCAGGGACCAAGGCGGCTGTGACCAGTAAGTGTGAGGCAGCCACCACCAGCCCGAAGCCGATGGCCAGTAGGCTGCGCACGGGCAGCAAGGCATAGGATATGAAGGTGACCAAAAGGAGTTGCCAAACCCCCTGCTCAGCAACCGCGGATCCCACGGCGCCTCCCGCAGAGCCCCTCGCCGGGCCACCCAGCGCGAAGGGGCAGCAGAGTAGCGCGAAGGTGAGGCTGAAGAACAGCGCCAGCTGACCGACCTGCTGCAGCTGGGGCACCTGCAGGGATCGGACATTGGTGACCACGAACAGCGCCAGGAAGAGGATGCAGTGCACCGGGTGAGACCCCTTGGCGAGGCCAGGCGCGGGTCCCGGTGCGCCCAGCAGTTCAGCCAGAGCCAGGGCTCCCGCCAGTAGGCTGAGCACCGCCAGCGCCTTCAGCGTGGCCGCCTGCTCCAGCCGCAGCGTGTAGCCGCGGAACAGCGCCTCCAGCTCGGGGCACGCGAACTCCTCGCCACACGCCCGGAGCCCGCG